AAGGTCCTAGGTTATTGGTTGACCTTCGAGGTCAGGTCATTGACCAAAAAGTCGGGAAAATCGGGACCTGTTAGAAAGTCGTTAAGTGTGGCTGCAATGGATTTTTTCGGGGTGCTGATAACGAATATCGTGTTAGTTTTGATCACAGATGATGTCTTCAAGCATTTAGACCAGGCCGGGTCAGGTCAGGTCAGGTCAACCAGTAGGGGTCGTGACGGGTATTCGTAGTAGGTGTCAACCGTTTCTGACAGCTTCGTAACATGTTACGAAGGCACCAAAACTACTTCGTAAATGTTCAAATGGTTTCTAAATTCGGATTTCGCTCCAAAAACTAGCCTAGAAACATGTAAAACTCGAAAAAGTGAGCCGAGGTCACCAAAGGTCAATGACCTGACCTGAACTTCAGGTGACCTTGACATCCACCCTTAACCCGCGCCCTGGTGGGGTCTGTTTATAACGCGACCTGGTGGGGGGGGGCTATTTTTTGCCCCCCCCCCCCCCTCGTATCTCCGAAACTACTGGACGGATCCGCAAAATTCAAACGGCGTTCGAAAGGCCTGTCAAATTTGTTGAAGGAAACCAATTTTCATTGACCTCGGGGTCACCGATGACGTCACAGGTCAGGTCAAAGATGAAATGTTTCACCGTTCACGGGTCTTCTAGGGAATGCGCTATAACACCGAGGAAAACGCATTTTGTCGAGTATCAGCGGTAGGGCGTCAGTTGCCTAGTAGATATGTTGCTATTAGAGGTCACTGGCAATACCAGGTCAGGTCACAGGTCAGGTCACCAAGGGTCACAGGTCAGGTCACATGAGCCCAACTTTACTAAGGTTGTGTGATACATGTTTTATGGCCAATTTTTCATTTCCAACTCAATGGTGTTGGTTATAAGACTATCAGGTACGGCTTAGGTCACTTTCTGGTGAAGTTCAGGTCAAGGTCAAGCCTGTCCCGTAGCTCAGTTGGTAGAGCATTGGACTCCCGGTAGTGAGAGCCCGGGTTCGAGACGTTCCGGCGCTCGATATTTGAGACTCCTGACGGGGATGGTCTGCGGTTGGTGGGAGCAGCCGCAGCCAGTTGAAGTCAGTTGAGTGGGACAGGCCGTGTCCGGCTTTGAAGGGCACGTTAAACTTTGGCATCTAAATTCTCCCGTTACCCGGAATTGCGCGATCGGACGGTAGGGGTCGGGGTCTACGCAACAAGCTCTGCTTAGCGTGGGCTTCGGCTCTGTCAATCCGTCCATTCAAACATTCGAACTAAATTTAAAAAAAAGGTCAGGCCAAAAAAGGTCAAATTTTTAAGTTGATAGTTTTGCATAAAATGGGTATTGATTCAATGCAGCTCGTCACGGGGAGTCTAATGGTGGTCTTTGTTTTGCGCTACTGGATCTAGAATTGCTAAAAATTGAGTTTGAAAATTTGACGTCATCAATTTTGAACAGTTTTTTCGCTATAACTTCGCCAAAAAAAAAGAGGTATCAATCTCAAATTTGGTATGTGGATGGAAGGCGGTAAGTACTATCACATATATTCCGGTTTTTGCGAAATTCGAAAACTTTTTGGATTTTTCGATTATTATATCAAAAAAATCTATTTTTTGATTTTTGGGGGTCAAAATCAAAAAGTTTCAAAAATCCGAGATAGCAGTTTTGTAGCCCTGTCCAATCTACAGCTTTTATGTTTTTTATCATTTTTCTGTATTTGCAAAGCTATAGGCCTGACAGCTCTTCCCGCGAAACCCTTTTTTGGGTCGAAAACGGCAGAACATGACGTCACTCTGACGTCATTTCCGGCCAACCTATCATAGCCTTTGGAAAAATTTTTGGTCACAATGTGTAAAATTGATGTCCGGGAGGGTACTGAAAGTTTGGTGACGATCGGCGCAGCGGTTCTGGAGATATATTGAAAAGTCTGGAGGGGGGGCAAAAAATAGCCCCCCCCACCAGGTCGCGGGTTAAGCATGGGAGCAACATCGAATCACATGTTTGAACGTTTGAAACCACGAAAGGCTTGCAAACGCGCAGGTAATACGAGCAGACATACGCCGTATCGCGTTTCCAACCAAACATGGCCTCGAGAAATAGGTCATAAGTCAAAGTTGATTTGGGTCAGTGTCATGAAATTTTCGGAGTAGGTGTAAAATTGATCAACTCGAAGGTACCGTAAAGTGGGGCTATTTGAAACGGATTTTACAGTTTTTGGCCAGTGGCCTCTCCCTTTAACCCGGCAGTTGCTGGGGTATTTCGCCACCCACCGTTTGCTGGGGGGGGGGGGGGGCGTTAAACGCCCCCAGCCGATAACTCGAGAACCAATAGGCGCAGCGAAACGCACGAGGCGGCAAACGAAAGAGCGCGACGAGACGCTTCAGATGAGTACTTTAAAGTTGAATTTTGAGGTCACGGGTCGGGTCAAGGTCAGGTCAAACACCTAAAATCGGGCTTTCAGTAGCATGGACTTCAGGACTTCGCAATGGGCGCCTCTCGCCATAAACTCTGTCAAAACGGTGCACAATCCATCTTATAAGGCCTACAAGAGTGTCAGCTCCATGTAGGGGTCAGTCAAGCATAGGTCAGGGTCAAGGTCAGGTCAACCGGGTAGGCACATATCCCCGAAAATCAAAACTGATATTCGCAGCCTGTGACACATGTTTTATAGGTAATTTGGGGCGTAGAACACGATGGTGACATTCATTTTATCATATGTGTACGTGTTTGGCTCAAAAAGTTCAATTTAAGAAATTCATGTATCATGGTCGTGAAGTAGTCACGAAAAATTGCCAAGATTCAGTTCAAGATTATGGAAAATGCGGAACGATAATCAATAATCGAAGATAGCCATTTGATTGATCATGGTATTGGCAGTCTAATGGCGTTTACGGCATGTCTGTATGTCTATTCTGTGATTTTATATGATTTTTTGAACATATGCCGTTTTTGGTCGAAAACTCAGAAATCATGACGTCACTAAAACCTCGATATCTCAAAAATTTTCCGACCGATTTTTTTGAAACTTTGTCACAATAAACTTCAATCAATTCCCTACAGGTACCCAAAATTTGGCGCGCCTGCGGCGCGCCGTTTTTATGCTATGGCCCGGCGAAAAAAGTGGGGGCGTTTAACGCCCCCCCCCAGCAACTCGCGGGTTAAGACGGTTCATAATTCATATTTCTTATAGCATGTCAATTGCAAAAATGTAGTTCTCTGTGAGCTCTTTCATATAGGTGCATTTTGGTTCAGCTAGTAATAATTATTAGGACTATTTTTTTAGTTAAAGCCTGTCTCAAATAGCCCCATAGGGTGGGGCTATTTGAGACAGTTTTAGTTGCAAAGAAATTGAAGAAAATCAGTGACGCTAGAGATAATTGTTGAAACGCCATGCAACTGGAAATTAAATTTTGATCATTTTGGCAAAATTGTTTTTGCAAAGACTGCTAAAGTTCGTTTTTTTTCAAAAGGACGCTGGCTCCAAGTTCATTATCGAAGCTCTGACGTGTTTTGGCGGCTTCAGCGTCTGGCTAAGAATTTTTTACCGTAAAAATGATCGATTTCAAATTGTGCTCGGTAAACACAATTGTGTCTTCAAAAATGAGCATACTATGATGACATCACTGGTGGCAGCTGGCAACCAATGTCAGTACGAAGGCATCAACTGCCAACGAATTTTTGGAAATCCTCGTTTTTCACTGTTAACGAGGCCCGAATCGAGTAAGCAGTTCTTTCCATGATAGTTATACGTTACATTGCAATGCAAGTTCCACAACATGACGTCACCACTGTTCTCTTGTTTAGTTCGAAAACGCAGGTATGTAATTTATCGGGAATAATTCACTTGTTAAAATAAGGCGAAGTTCCAGTTAAATATGGTGATGAAATTGACCAGTAACATGATGTCGTAAGACATCATGTCGTAAGACAAGGAACCCGATGATGTCGTAAGACGAAAGCTCGTTCTATATTTTCGGCCTCATTTTGTTATTTAAAAATACATCTTACTGCCATGTTACTGGTCAATTTCATCACCATATTTAATTATTTGATCATGGCAAAACCGACCATTCAATACATCAAGAAGTTCCAGTTTCTGAGGTTCAGTTTTTGCCCGTTTTGCTCGCTAAAACACGTGCTTGTTCGAAAAACATACTTGGAGCCAGAGTCTTTTTGAAAAAAAAACGAACTATACATGTCCTTTATATTCAATCTTTTCCTTTTTGTAGGACACTTCATTTCGGTAGGGTATAAAATTGCATCACTATATGCTAAGGTTATCATAATATGATGTGACCCTAAACTTTCAAAATGACATCAAGGACTTCTTTAAAGTCAACGACAGTAAAACTTTAAAAGTAGGTTTTTTGTATATAGCCCTGGTGACGTGAAAACGGATACACCGAAAGTCGGTGGGGCTATTTCAGACAGGCTTACTACCTTATGAAGCACACCGTAATGAATCAAACAAAGCAAAAGGTTTCCCAAAACATTAAAGTGAATGGTCTGCATGATTGCTTGTTCCATTGTACATCTCCATGCGAAGGAATATCAGAAAAATGTTAAACGGTTTTGATTTCATGCCGATTTTCCTCGATCGCTGCATGCTGCATGCTTCCGCCGCCTTCGGTGGCGGAGGGCGACATTTTTTCGATAGGCTAGGGGCTTCGGCCCCAAGAGGCCCCCCTGGATCCGCGCCTGCCACAAAGAATGCAATGTGTCGGCAGCGAGTGTCGGCGGCAGCACATGTCTGCTGCGAGTGTCGGCGGCAGCACATGTCGGCAGCGAGTGTCGGCGGCAGCACATGTCTGCTGCGAGTGTCGGCGGCAGCACATGTCTGCTGCGAGTGTCGGCGGCAGCACATGTCTGCTGCGAGTGTCGGCGGCAGCACATGTCTGCTGCGAGTGTCGGCGGCAGCACATGTCTGCTGCGAGTGTCGGCGGCAGCACATGTCTGCTGCGAGTGTCGGCGGCAGCACATGTCTGCTGCGAGTGTCGGCGGCAGCACACACTTACCTGCCGTCGGGAAGGACCTTTTGTTCGTATTCCTTTTCGATGCCAAGTTGATTTTTACAAATGTACATGAGTTTTTCGGCAGAGCAGAGCCGGGTATTGGCGCACCGCTTCGTGTACGGATCCATCTTGCCGGCTGCAACGGACCAGCAGAGCACTCTCAGAGGCAGGCTTGAGGGGGGAGGGGGCAACCAGCCAAGCCGAGCCCGGCACCAGCAGCACAGCGGCCGCCGGGCCAATACACTAATACAGCCGCCCGGCCAATACACTAATACAGCCGCCCGGCCAATACACTAATACAGCCGCCCGGCAAATGCACTAATACAGCCGCCCGGCCAATACACTAATACAGCCGCCCGGCAAATACACTAATACAGCCGCCCGGCCAATACACTAATACAGCCGCCCGGCCAATACACTAATACAGCCGCCCGGCCAATACACTAATACAGCCGCCCGGCCAATACACGAATACAGCCGCCCGGCCAATACACTAATACAGCCGCCCGGCCAATACACTAATACAGCCGCCCGGCCAATACACTAATACAGCCGCCCGGCCAATACAGTAATACAGCCGCCCGGCCAATACACTTATACAGCCGCCCGGCCAATACACTAATACAGCCGCCCGGCCAATACACTAATACAGCCGCCCGGCCAATACACTAATACAGCCGCCCGGCCAATACACTAATACAGCCGCCCGGCCAATACACTAATACAGCCGCCCGGCCAATACACTAATACCGCCGCCCGGCCAATACACTAATACAGCCGCCCGGCCAATACACTAATACAGCCGCCCGGCCAATACACTAATACAGCCGCCCGGCCAATACACTAATACAGCCGCCCGGCCAATACACTAATACAGCCGCCCGGCCAATACACTAATACAGCCGCCCGGCCAATACACTAATACAGCCGCCCGGCCAATACACTAATACAGCCGCCCGGCCAATACACTAATACAGCCGCCCGGCAAATACACTAATACAGCCGCCCGGCCAATACACTAATACAGCCGCCCGGCCAATACACTAATACAGCCGCCCGGCAAATACACTAATACAGCCGCCCGGCCAATACACTAATACAGCCGCCCGGCCAATACACGAATACAGCCGCCCGGCCAATACACTAATACAGCCGCCCGGCCAATACACTAATACAGCCGCCCGGCCAATACACTAATACAGCCGCCCGGCCAATACACTAATACAGCCGCCCGGCCAATACACTAATACAGCCGCCCGGCCAATACACTAATACAGCCGCCCGGCCAATACACTAATACAGCCGCCCGGCCAATACACTAATACAGCCGCCCGGCCAATACACTAATACAGCCGCCCGGCCAATACACTAATACAGCCGCCCGGCCAATACACTAATACAGCCGCCCGGCCAATACACTAATACAGCCGCCCGGCCAATACACTAATACAGCCGCCCGGCCAATACACTAATACAGCCGCCCGGCCAACACACTAATACAGCCGCCCGGCCAACACACTAATACAGCCGCCCGGCCAATACACTTATACAGCCGCCCGGCCAATACACTTATACAGCCGCCCGGCCAATACACTAATACAGCCACCCGGCCAATACACTAATACAGCCGCCCGGCCAATACACTAATACAGCCGCCCGGCCAATACACTAATACAACCGCCCGGCCAATACACTAATACAGCCGCCCGGCCAATACACTAATACAGCCGCCCGGCCAATACACTAATACAGCCGCCCGGCCAATACACTAATACAGCCGCCCGGCCAATACACTAATACAACCGCCCGGCCAATACAGCCGCCTGAAATAGGTGTACAGTCTGTCTTAAAAGTACCGCGCAAAGTGACGGTGGATCCATCTAACCTGACCGATGAAGGACTGCTAAATTTGAGTCACCGAAGCAATGGACATCCTCGTCCCTTCCCCAGGTCAATTGCTTCGGTGACTTTAAAATTATAGCAGACCCTTCCTCGGTCAGGCTTGATGGATCCACCGTTACTTTGCGCGGTACTTTTAAGATAGACTGTACAGTCAGGTGCCGGGCCGGGTTAGTCTGGTGCCGCGCTGACAAACAGCCCAGACGGCGACGGTCGGCTCACCTTTGAATGGCTGGAATGAGGCGTCGTCGATGAACTCAGTCTGCTCGACCACGGAGAACTGAAACGGGATACCCTCCTCCGACACCTTGGTCGCCTCGCCCCAGTACATGAAATGTTCGTTGTTGACCACTCGACCGCTGAAGTCGGTCTGCCGTACACAGGGGACAAGCCGCCAGTCAGTACACACGCGCACATACTGACAGAGTACTCCAGTCCATACACAGTAGGGTTGTTAAAAAAACCGAATTTTGGAAAAGTATATGGGCTCATGGCTCATGTGGTGCGGTATTCTTTTCTGAGTCCAATGATGCCCCTTTTCTCGAAAAGTATTACTGCTAGGCGCTGCTCAAACCGCTTAAAGAAGACCATGTTACGCCCGCCGACCGGCCGGTGTCAATAAGGGCGAGAACTCGACGCCGCGCACCGGCAGCAGCGCCTTATCGGCCCCGCGCGCCACGAACCTGCCGGGCGGCCGGCTGGGCGGTGGGAAGTTATAAGGGTGCGTTTCACGCGTAACGCTATGAGAAACGTTTTTCGTAAATATCTAGAGCATCGTTGCTTCGATCGCCTTCGTTTTTGGATATGTTATGAAGGACGTTAACCTCGTCGTCACAGAGTGGTTACCGTTGTTCTGCAATCCATATATACTGAGCAATTGAGACAAACATATTGCAAAATCAAAATTTCAAATGAATAGAACTCAATAACGGGTTGTCGTACGACTGTGATGTTTGCAGTTTTGGACTGAAGTAGTCAAGGAAAACATTTCCTAGCAAGCCTTTTTTCAAATTTTGTGCTATGTTTTGCATGATACAATTTTCATCTTGCAGTGCATTGCATGAAAGTCATGACAACAATTTCAAAAATGTGGCTGCTAGGAATCATAAAGACATCGATTCTCTACACAATCCTGTAAAGTGAATCATCATTGCATGTATCACTATGCAGTTCTATTCATTTGAAACTCATTGCACAGCTAGTTCATAAAATCGCCGAGAGATGTCTCTGGCTGTATGGCCCGCGCGTTTCGACGGTCCCCTCGGCTCGTCACTCAGCGGCGTTTGTTGACACAGTGTCACACCCATTAGTTACGGCGCTCCGCTGGCGTGCGGCCGCCGTCGAGGTGCTCTGAACCCTCCCTGCGAAGTTTCGCCGTGACCAGACGGGTCGGAGACTCATCCCACGATCTATCCATGACCGGCGCCCAGCCAGGCGTCTCCTATCGCGCGCCTCTCACTCTTGATCGGGAGTACGCCGGGAAGAGCTTGTGAGAAACTGACAACTTTGAAAGAAGGCAGCTTGTGTGAGTGGTATTACGAACAGCGAGCAGGTGTATTTTGACAATAGGCATTTGACCTGACCTGGGCAGTCGATACTGCATAAATTATGAAAATAACCAGCAATACCTACAAAATTAATGGAGACATAGACCCTAAGTGACGTGAGACTTAATATCAGTTCGACTGTTATGTCAAAACCCTCGCCTTGGCAGGGTATTTTTCATACCCCTCTCCCGGCGTTTCAAGGTCAAGGTCAGGTCAAAGGTCAAATTTCGGGGAAAGCTGCAATTATCCAAATTACTTAGCCAATATTAGCGAATCTATGAAAGATAGCGACATGAAACCTTCATGACCGTGTTTCTCAACGAATTAGCAACACAATGATGTATACTCGTAATTGATTGCATTTCAGTCAAAATAGCGTCTCTAGAGATAGTTTTTCACGTATCACTTTTGAAGTAATACCTAAAGCTCGGCAAAAACTGCATAATAGCAATTAGCAGCATCGTAGTCCTCTCGTAATTTCGCCTCGTAGTATATATGTTACAGTTAGTATGCGAAATCCGTTAGTTTGCAACGCAACTAGTTTCGTTGCAAACTACCTGACCGGCCAGGTAGTTTGCAACGAAACTAGTTCCGTTGCAAACTAACTGACCGTCCAGTTAGTTTGCAAACTAACTAGTTAGGATGCAAACTACCTAGTTACTTTGCAACGGAACTAGGTGTGTTGCAACGGAACTAGTTGTAATGCGAAATCGACGAGGCAGTGGCTCTATTTGTGGGTTATATTCAACTTTTATGTAAATTTTAACAACGGTTGTTAAAACAAACCTGTTTTTTTTTAACGGGTGACACTACATAGACATAAGAGTAGGACGGGTGGTAACATTCATGGATGAAACAGTGAATTAACCAGATTAGACTACATAATGTGACGATCACTAGCGGATCCAGAGGAGGGGCAGTTCCGGGGGCATTTTGCTATTTTGATATTTTTTGCGACACACACTAACACCAGTCACCACCGCCGCCGTACAGAACAGAACTGAACTGTATAGTCCCATGGCCCGTGGTCCGGGGTAAGCGTGCGATCAAGAATCTGTCTCAACGGCCGACTCCTACTGCGACTTGCCTAGCCAGGCGACCTAGCGGTGCCGGGCCATTCGGTAACAGCCAATGATCAAAGGGCAGGCTGCGTCACAGACTGATCGGTTGTGGAGGTAGGAGCTCGTCAGCGGCGCGGTTCTGGAATAGGGGAGACCCGGGAGGTATAGGCCGGTTTTGTGTAAAGGCAATTTTCTTCCATTGGGCAGTGGCTAGACCCGGTTTTTCACTCTGTGTACGTGAGATTGCTTTTCGCCTGCAAAGTGTGCCTGATATTAGGCATCTGGGACCAACTATTTTGTCTTGAGATAACTTTCAATAAATCATGCGCTTTTTCGATCCATCAAAATACACCGGGAGGTATGGGCCGGTGCTATGTTTCATATTCTTTTCTCGACAATGAGAACAATACTCGTAACTGGTATCTACCTTGATCTCTCTTAGAGCCACCGCATAAGCGGCCAACAGCTTACTTCATGGGGGTCACTTGGGCACATAAGTATTTTGGTAAACTCAATCATGCTCCACGAAATAAGATACATAATATTTTTCTGTTCGAATGAAATTTTTAGTTAAATGTTCGACCTTGCGCTCAATGAAAGCATCATTTCATTGATTTAGGATCAACGGGGGTGGGTGGCCCGAACCTCTCGGTTAGGACGCCAAAATGTGCGTAGCATCTCAGCTCATAATCTTGCAACAAAGCTTCAAATTGTCTATTCAGTCCTAATTTGCATGATTTAAACTTTATGTTAGAGCTGGTCTGACATCATAAAACGAGCCTGGTTCAAATTTATCACGAATTTTTTGTATGAACCGTATTTTACTCGAAAAGGGCAAACACGCTTTATCACCGCTCATTGCCAAGGAAGACTGAGGAAGATTTCGGAAATCACATGGGTTGGCTGTTGGCATGGGTTGGCAAATGGAATGGCTGCTACCAGTTTACGCGGTCAAAGATAGATAGATAGATAGATATTTATTCACAAAAGGTCCACTCAAAAGTGTGGCTTTTCACTTCCGCACGTCACAGAATAAGACATGAGTAGACATTCACACGCAGCTACGTAAACAGGGTTAAATGGTTAAAATGAACTAAAAGAAGATAAAGAGCACCAAATGTGTAAAAATACGCAATACTTCTTCAAAACTGCGATGGTCCATACCTTCGGGGGGCCCATACCTCCCGGGTCTCCCCTTTTTCCGAAATCGGCAGCAGCACCTTTCTTTCCGCTTATGTCTACGCATTTATGGTGATCACTAGCGGTTCCAGAAAGATGGTCTTAAACGTTGCGGGAGACATAACCCCAAAAAGTTTCTCCTAATTCCAAAAACCTTTCGGATTTTGATTCCAATCGTAGCACACGGCTGTGCAGTCTAAAAAAAGTATTTGATTATAAAAGTTGTTCAGTTTTCGTTTCATTCTCAAAAAAAAGTAAATATTTGTCGCTTTCGGGCGCTGCGTGGATGGCGGAGCGATTTCGGGCGCCCCCCACCTCTGGATCCGCCAGTGATCGTAACGTTATGCAGTCGAATCCGATTAATTCACTGTTTTTATCCTAAATGTGACCACCCGTCTTATGTCTAGTGTCACCCGTTAGAAAAACACAGCTTTGTTTTAACAACCGTTGTTAAAATTTACATAGAAGTTGAATATAACCGACAAATAGAGCCACTGCCTCGTCAATTTCGCATTACAACTAGTTCCGTTGCAACACACCTAGTTCCGTTGTAAAGTAACTAGGTAGTTTGCAACGTACCTAAGTAGTTTGCATCCTAACTAGTTAGTTTGCAAACTAACTGGACGGTCAGTTAGTTTGCAACGGAACTAGTTTCGTTGCAAACTACCTGGCCGGTCAGGTAGTTTGCAACGAAACTAGTTGCGTTGCAAACTAACGGATTTCGCATACTAACTGTAACATATACATATGTGTTGACTTCGAAAGGTCAAGGTCAAAGGTTGACCTCGGATCACATAACCTTAAAGGAAATAGTTCACTTTTTAACATGGGTTTTGAACTGGAATAGCAGTTCCGTAGCTTGGGCTGAGACGAGCATAAATCAGGAGCTTTTACAGCCCAACGATCACCCTAGGCAAAGATATTCTATTTCTCGTCCCGAAAAAGGTGTATTGCGTTGAGGATGTGTGCCTTGCATATATTCGCATCCAGTATGAAAAGAGCATGGGTCCCGAAAATTCTTCAGAAACTAGTGAAACTATCTACGAGAACTCAAGAGAAATTCTCGTACTGATCAATAAGGACATTCAGCAGCAGCAGATCGCCCAAATGCCGGTGGCCGCGATAATTTCTCTAGTTTCTGAAGAATTTTCGGAACCCATGCTCTTTTCATACTGGATCGCCTGTGCCTTACAGAAACTGAAAAGTTCTTCTTATATCAAAATATAGAAAATAATCTTTTGTCATAAATAGGTTTTATTTTCTTTGCTGATCATTTTGAACATAAAAAATCATAAATCCATTGCAAAAAAAATAATTTCGTGAAAGTGAACTATTTCCTTTAAGCCTCACACTGGTGGGGGCTATTCCCCCCCCCCCGTATCTCCGAAACTATTGTACGGATTCCCAAAACTCAAACGGCGTTCGATAGCCCCGTTGCCTTGATAAAATTAATTTAATTGACCACAGGGTCACTGATAACGTCACAGGTCAGGTCAAAGTTAAAATGTTTCACCGTTCACGGGCCTTCTAGAAAATGCGCTATAACATTGATTAAAAGGCATTTTTTCAAAAATCATCGACAA